TCACCAAATCGCTTCTGGCATGCCGGTTTCAAGATCTCATTTCCAAACTCAAGATGGTTTCATTCAATCCACCTTGAGTTTGAGGGGGGCTGTTAGAATATATTAATATATATTCTTACTATATTATATAATATTATCTACCTTGTATAGATTACAATATATAGTTACCTTATACATATATGATTATTGTTACTATAAGATTACTTGTTCATTACTCATAACCCTCCCTATATAAATCACTCTTGTATCTCTTATTATTTACATCAATATACAGAGTTCAATTCTGTCTCTTATTTCTAACAATTATAACAATTAGCAAATGTATATCAAAGCAATTGATGTATATTAATGATCAAATATACAATATTTTATATATAATGAGGGATACATAATTTTACAGGGATGCAATGTGATGTGTGTATATATATATATATATATACAATAGATACACAATTTGATATGCATGGTGATTGAAACTTTAATTGACAATAAATATACTATACTATGTTAAGATAAAACGTAAAAAAAAAGACTACAACTTTCTAAATAGCTAATTACCTTGTATTTTAATATGATCTCATTATATTTGACATATAAATAGATACATTGATTCCGTAAAATAATAGGTTTTTATTTATTAAGCTAAATAACATGACTCCTAACATAATATTGATTTACAAATTGAAGTGATGTGAACAGTTGGGGACTTTCTATATTCATTGGCATATATATATATACATATATACATACATACATATACATAGAGTATATATTATTCGGCGAGGTCGACCATCACCGGGCATTATTTGGAGGGGTATGAAAACTCTAGATTCAGGTTGTTAGTTATTGAATTTAGATTTATATACTCATTTTTTAATCAAGATATTGTGTTATGAAGGTGATTATTCAAACTTTCAAAATCCCAATTAACTTTTCAATTCGATTTCACTGTATTTGAAACCTTTGAAACCTAACATAGGGATTCAAAATACAGTTTATTTATATGATCTGTTACAAAATTAATGACTAATATTGTCATCTAATAGATTATTACACCTAAATATTTGTGGTTTAGGGTAAAATAGGTTTGTAATCTATTTGATACTTCAAATTTTAAAAAATCCCAAATTACTTTTCAATTGGACTAATCAAGAGTTGATACCTAAAATTAGGGTTTGAAAATATTGTTTCCTCATGTAATGTGTTATGAAACCCGACCTTCTATTCTTCTGTAAAAGTATTCTAGACTCGAGTTTAGGTTTTAATCTTATTTTTGTTATCGAAATTGTCATAAACTCTATTTTTTTTTCCACATATTCAATACTATTATACATCATTACAATAGGATAGTTAACATAATAAAAGTTATTCACATTTATTTCACCTTTGCATAGTAATAATGAATTTCCGGATACGCCAACACGATTCCATCATTCGCGAGATCTTCATAGAAATAATTAACTCTTTCATTCTAATTTTTTTCTAAATTTATGAATGGCGTATTTTGTTAATTTAAAGAACAAAAGAATATATTTATTGATAACGATGGGTTGGGTATGACTCCGGACTTGTATCTTCGTGCTCAGTGACCCGAACCCTCTGGATTTTGGTCTTGACAATGGTCCCCTCCATGATCTTTCTATTCATCACTCTTATTCCTCTTATATTTAATTGGGATTGATAATAAGATTTAGTAATTTCACTAAGATTGCAGAAAGGTCGAGAGAGGTGGGAGGTTTGCGCGAGTTTTAAGTGACGGGCAATTTCAGCAGGTATTGAGGAGAAACTGAAAATGGTCAAATTCAAGTACTTTAGGGTCTTTATTAGCCTTCTCAACTACCATTTCATTTATGTTATTTCATTCATGTCATTTTTGTTAATAACATGAATGCTAACCTACCAAAGGCCCTTCGGCCCAATGGTTTAACCTACCCATCTTTAAAGAAGGGGGGAGGGGTTCGAGTCCTGGTGTGGACAAAAAATGTGTGTTTGCTTAAAAAAAAAAAAAGAAAAAAAAATCAATCTGTATACTCTATGATACTTCAACATTGTTGCAATCGCCAATTCTGTAGTGGTGAAAAGTCTTCTATCATGGGTAGATATCAAGCATAAAGAGAAGGTCTTAAAAGAACAAAGGGACAAAGAATCATTAACGAAATTTACAAATAAAAGGTTGTTTATTTGTAATTTTGAAAATAGTTTTGAAAAATTTTTAAAATAGAAAATTGTCTTAAGAAAATAATAAAGTATAGTTATCTGAAAATAACCCTTTTTATAATCGAGTTTTCAAATAACTGAACCATGTAGAGTTTTCGTACAGTTTTATAATTTCAATTCTATTTTCGGAGTTATAAACTAAGTAGGACCTAATAATTTATGAAAAGTTGCTTCAATCATTTGTCTCTTCACATCTCTCTCTAATATACAAACTTTCTTTCATAAAATCATTTATTCTCTATTTTTTTTATTTTTTGTTCTTGCCTTGAAGAGTCTTCATCCATGAATAATAAAGATATAATGGCATTGGGCAATAAATTATTGACCACATGACATGACATAGATTGTGGTTGATCCAATCAGATAATCTAATTCAATATAATATAACATATAATATGTTATAAATATATTACTAATGGTATAATATATAATAATACTTATAAATGATTAAAATTCTTTTTTATCATTATTGTCTTTTTCTTCTGTCTCCCTATTTTATCTCTTTTTATTATTTTTTTTCTTTACTAAAAACTCAAATACCAATTTTTTACCCTCTTTTTTTGTTTATTTATTCTTTATTTTTTTGTGAATTCTATTTTTTATTTTTCTCTTTGTTTCCAAATTTCATTTGATATTAAATTTTAACCAAAAAAATTACTTATTTAATGGATCGAGTTATCAGATCGAATGTTTAATTAATAACAAATCAAATAGAAATTCCTTTATAAATAATTCATCAAATAATCGTTTCGGATCAAGTTTGATTCAGTCCGAATCTAATCCATATACGGACCTAAACGCAACATACAAAAGCAATGACATAAAAAAATATTGTTTTTATTTTTATAAGATATAATTCTTAGTAATACACACACACGGGACATAAAGGATAATTTGTTCCTATGTAATCAATACATTTTGGAGAATCAATAGTTGTTGACTACGAAAATTTCTAAACCACCCAATCTTCAATTCATAATCCTACCAAATTAGATTAAAAAATTTGAAATTATAACTTCTATCAGAATTGATATGTGATTCAATTTTTATATATGATTATTTTAATAAGTCTAGAATTTCTACCAAAAGAATTTTTCCACTTTATATATATATTTTAAGAAAATTATTATTGCACTAAAGTGTTAAACCACTTAGTTAAATTGGTATAAATAGCCAATTAAAATTATTCGGTTATACAATTCACTGCAACTGTACAATGTAAATATCACTGCTCTATATTTTATTCTCAAAATAATGAATCTAAAGTACAAATACTAACAATGATGCTGATGATGATAAATTATTCAAATTATTTTGATAAAAAGCAATTATTATATTCTTTTACCTCTTTTTAGTGGATTTTTTTATTTTAATATTTTTATCATCCTAAATTCTTCCCAAGTTTTTGGAATTGCAACGATCTAACTAAATTTATTATAATTTAAATTCATAATATAATATATATCTATTAATTTAAATTAAAAGAACATAAAAACATAAAACAAAAGGATTAAGTATATCAAAATTTCAAATGAAAATTATAATTGCAAATATTTTATTCTATTTGGAAAAGTTATAAATAAAAAATTTAGTGGTTTAGAAGTTAAATAAAAAATAATAACAACTTCCAGCTCTCCAAATAAAAATAAGGGAACAAAGGAAAACAGAAAATTTCTTGGTCTCAAGATGTCTGTTGTCTGTCATTTTTAGCTTTCAAAATTCTTAAACTTCACTGTACAATATTAGTTTGTGATGTGAAACCATGAAAGCAGGTCTCCTTTATAAAAGTTACTCAAAACACATTGTATCACAAAACAATTTCATAGGCACAATGTTCAGAGTCATATAACATGAATCACAACAAAATCATGTATAAGAAAAGACATGTCTCAAGTCTCGAGAGGCATTGACATCCATTTTAAGATCTGAAAATCAATTTAGTAGTTAAAAAATTCGGTTCAGTTGATCCTCATCAAGCTAAATTGAAATGAAATGATTACATAACTTACTTTTTCAGAATAGATGGTTGCTAACATTGTACATGGACTTACAATTAAAATTGAAAACACGTGTTGGACCAAAGAAGGCCACACTCAACAGATCAATGAACGTCTCAAATTAAGTAGTTAGAATTATTTAAGTAGTCCATCTGTATGTTAGATACAAACAAATTAATGAGGTAAATGCAGTATAAAGTGCTTCTGTAATTACAATTGTTATCAAGCATTGTTCAGATCTTTCCAGCCTCTGGTTTTAAGGAATATTGTTCATGATGCCAACAGAGAAAAAAGACAAGCAGTTCCTTGTAAACAAAATAAATAAATAAATCGATCTCCGGTCATATATTTATGATAACCATAAATAGATTATGAGAACCAATCACAAATAATATTTACTTAAAGTCTCACAAACATGATCTAATATTCACAACCAGAGAAAAAAAAAAAAAATTGTTTTAGCACTGGTGAAAAAATAATAATAATAATAATAATAATAATAAAGCCAAATAAATTAGATTAGACCAAAAGATTGTCAAGAAATTAATTCTGTACTCAATTACCTACCATACTGGGCACAATCCAAATTGAGGTCGGCATATGCTTATGCGAAGGATCAAGAATGTAATGCGTTCCAAAGCTTCCATTCTCTATGTTAAAGATACCAATGTCCCGGCGACCAAATGGGAGATGGTGAACAAAGTCAATATAATCGTCTGTGTAGTATATGGAATTTGGTTGACACCCGGGCCAGTTGGAAGATGAAACACAAATTGAATGGTTATCTCACAAAAACAGACTGTCTCCACATAAGCTCTTCATTTCAACCCGCTTAGCAAAACCCTCTTCAGTTTGTTGTAAAAGTATCTTGAAAACCTTAGACACTGAGGTTGCAAGCTGACCATCTATATATTTTAGATACCTTTCTACAACAAGTAGATTTCCGCTAGATGATTCCACGAGATATATCCGCATTTGATTGAACCTATAAGTCTGCGGCAGTGTAATTACTTTCTGTTGGGGAACCTTACTCTCCCGAGCACTTCTATTGAGATTAATCATTTTGATTCTACCCCAAAGATCAACAGCAAGAATCTGACCTTTATAATATATGACATCTTCGTAGGCACTATCGAATTTATCTCGATCAGTATAAGTCCAAACTTTGTCTCCTGGCTGAATGAATGCCAATCTTCCATTAATATTATCATAGATTGCGGAAACAATATAGTCATTAACCGATAAAGCAGGGTCAGCTAACAATGCAACCTTCTTAACTACAAACTCAACCTCAACTTGAGTTGTGTCATCATCGGAATCGTCATCGCTCTCATAACGTTTGAATTTTGAGCGGTCAATAACCGGAGGAAGCTCAATGGTGGCCCCACAGAATGGGTTGATTAGGGTTAAGGCAAAAGATTCTTCAACGGTAAATAACTAACCATGTGAGGAACCACAAAACCTCTTTTTGTAAGGTACTTGTAACTGAAAATCATATAGTTTATTGTGAGTAATGCTGTATAGACTACGTCTTTCCTCGCTATTATCTTCTGTAGGGACCATCAACAATGGAACTTGTTGATTCTTTTTAAAGAATTGAACTCTGTTCTGTATTGCTAATGATTGCCATTCTTTACAGACGGCACCAAAGCGAATATAGTCGGAAAGAGAAACTAAATTGTCTAGAATCATATCCAGTAAGTGATTTGGAAGCCAAGCCCAATTGGACTGCGATACTGAGCCCATATCCAGAATCAATAGCACTGCAATGACGACAAATCAAAAAAATTGATTGGCAAAAATTCGAATGGGATAATGAGATTCCTAAACTGAATGATTAAATAAAATAATAATAATAATAAGTTATAGTTGTAATTTTCATCAAACAAATTATATACATATAATACGTAAGAAACTATAGCCAACTTAAATTTGTTGTTATCCATTTATATAAAAAAAGAAAAAAGAAATAAAAGAGATATTTACATGAATTTAATCAAGCATATGAATACATGGCAGAATAATCGTAATTTCAGCCAATATATGAATCTATATAATCACAATAACTCCTGAAGCGACTCAAACAAGTAAAAGAGAATCAAAAAACCAAAGTGAACTAAGTGATATATTAATATGACAGGGATGATAGTGATATATATATATATATATATATATATATATATATATATATATAAAGTGTTAAATGACAGTAGTATCCCTGTTATTCCTTGCACGCTTTCTGGCTTCTCTATCTTGTATCTGTATCTAAATTGTGTTCAATTACATCAGTAATTGGGTTACAATTTGTGACAAGTCTGATTTCATAGTATGGAGTTGGTTTGGCTATTTTTCCATGAAATATTTGTGGAATAAATTTGATAATCAAGAATTTTAAAGAAAATATCAAATAAAAGGTAAGTTTTCATATTATTTATATTAATAAAATACTATTTTTTAATTTCTCATATATTTATTGACGAATTTAAAAGGAAAAATAAAATTTAAAGGGCTAAGAGCTCTTTTCATGCAAAAGAAAATAAAGAAATCATAAGGTAAAGAAAAAAATTTTGTTAGGCCTAAACCCAAAAGTTGAAAGAAACACAAAAAAAAAAATAAAAATAAATAAATAAATAAAGAAAAGGGAAACTAAAAAAAATTACAATACGTATATCTATAAGTATATGTGATCGGTAATTTGATGGATACAATTGAATTTTTATTAGAAAAAGTATTTGAATGACATAAAATAGTAGGCTTTTCTCTTATTTTGTTTAGTTGAATAAAAAAATAAATTTTTTTTTTTTTTTTTGAGGGGAAAGAGTTTTGCACAATTTAACTATGCTATATATATGCAAAAGAAATAAAATGTAGTTGCATTCATAATTATGTCACGTAAGCAGAACGTACCTTGAATCCACAAAGAAGAAAAAAAAAAGAAGTCAGCAGAGAAATCTGATAATATATTAATAATTGAATGAATGATCCTAACTGTAGTACATGTAATTATAATAAAGGAAATTCTAAAACAGGAAGGAAACTAGCAGCGTAAGGAAACTGCTCAAAAATAAATTTGCTCAGAGGATTCTGTAAAATAAGGAAAGAAACCTAATTATTAAAATAACAAAAGAAACTAAATTACTAAAAAGTTTAGTGGTTTAGAAGTTAAATAAAAAATAATTTTAAATTAAGACTTATTGCCTTATTGGTCTTAATGAAAAGTCTGAACCATGAACGCCCATGGGATTAGTCCAAATAATGGGCTTCAGTAAGTTGAATGGAGGGCCCAAAGGCATAGTCTCGACTCCTTAGCTTTGATAGGACTTTAAATATGGGCTAACATTGGACTTCGTAGATAACATTGCTAAGAAGGTATGAAGTAAATCAGGTGTACCGTGCCTCGATTTCATTGAATCTAGGTCAAAGAAATCCTTCCAATCAGAGCTTTGACAAGGAACTATTAGTTTCACAGTTCTATACTGCTGTCAATACCATAAGACACGGGCATATCTAGGGGGTGGACTGGAGCCTATCCCAAAATAATTTATTATTAGTATTAACCTACTAAAAAAAATATTAACCTTATCACATTGACAATTCCTAAATCCGCCCTCGCCGTTATTGACATGGCACCGAACTATGTAGGCAGTAGCAATAACATAAACATTCTTCAACCAAATGGACAATTTGGAACTCGTTACCTAGTAAGGATAACAAACAACTTCCAGCTCCCCAAATTGATATGAAAAGTTATTATTTTTGCTTTTACTTTCATTTCCTAGATTAATTGATTCTTTAACAGGGAGGCAAAGATCATGGTAAAGCCTGGCATATATCCCTGTTTTATTTGAATGATGTTTGGTCTGGTTTGGTGGAAAATAAAAATAAGGGAACAAAGGAAAACATAAAATTTCTAGGTCTCAAGATGTCTGTTGTCTGTCATTTTTAGCTTTCAAAATTCTTAAACTTCACTGTATAATATTACTTTGGGATGTGAAACCATGAAAGCAGGTCTCCTTTGTAGAAGTTACTCAAAACACATTGTATCACAAAACAATTTCATAGGCACAATGTTCACACTCATATACCATGAATCACAACAAAATCATGTATAAGAAAAGACATGTCTCAAGTCTCGAGAGGCATTGACATCCATTTTAAGATCTGAAAATCAATTTAGTAATTAAGAAATTCGGTTTAGTTGATCCTCATCAAGCTAAATTGAAATGAAATTATCACAGTAGCTTACTTTTTCAGAGTAGATGGTTGCTAACATGGTAATTAGCTTGAATCCACAAGAAAGAAAAAAAAGAAGTTGCAGAGAAATCTGATAATATATTAATAATGGAATGAATGATCTACTTTGCAGTATACGTATTTATAATAAAGGAAATTCTAAAACCTTAAGAAAATTAGCAGTGCAAGGAAACTGCTCAAAAATAAAAATATTCTGTAAAATAAGAAAATAAATCTAATTATTAAAATAAGGAAAGAAACCTAATTACTAAAAAATTTAGTAGTTTAGAAGTTAAATAAAAATTAATTTTAAATTAAGACTTATTGTCTTATGGTCTTAATGAAAAGTCTGGAACCTTGAACGCCTATGGGATTAGTCCAAATAATGGGCTTCAGTAAGCTGAATGGAGGGCCCAAAGGTATAGTCCTGACTCCTGAGCCTGATAGGAGGGCCCAAAGGCATAGTCCTGACTCTTGATAGGACTTTCAATATGGGCTAACATTGGACTTCGTAGACAACATTGATAAGAAGGTATTGAGTGAGCTCGGCACACTGTGTCCCGATTTCATTCTATTAATAGTATATTTAAGATGGTATTGTCTATCTTGTATATATATAACTTTGCTTTATCTTAAATTCATTACAGTTCTCATTGTTTTTGCATACTCGTACTTACCTTGATCAGAAACGCTTAAAAAATATAGCAACTTTGTCAACAAAGAGTTTATACTGTTTTCAATAAAAGAACTTCGATGGTCAATTCCTTCAATGGTTGAGGTCCTGAAACTAGGTCAAAGAAAGATCTTTTTCTGTTCTTCCAAGCGGGGCTTTGACAAGGAACTATTAGTTTCACCATTCTACTTATCATGACAATTATGATTACATTGATTAAGAGAATGAGCATACTACACTCAACACCTTATTTTCTGTAATTTTTCAATTGTCCGATTATGTAGGGGCATCCCCTTTATAAGTGTTCAATTATCATAGTATGTAAGGGCATCCAAGGGTGGCAAATAGACAATTTTAGCCTTCGGATATGCCACCATTTTCACACTTGTTTTTATTTATTTATTTATTTATTTTTATCTCTTCCAGAAAGTAAAGTATTTGTATATACGTTGAATGTACAGATGGGCCGAAGCCCCAAAATAAAGCCCAAGAGACACCCTTGAGCACCAAACCAGCCCATACCCAAAGGTAAAGCAAAAAACAAAAACTTGCCCTAATCGTTGAGTAAATATGCCAACCACAATCCGGTGAGTGAAGATGGGACTAAACTTGCCCTAACATTGTTCAATGTTCTTAGAAATACATCTCTGGTGCAATGAATGTATAATAAAGATAATGTTCTTATTTAGATTTTTTCATTGAATATAGTTAAAAATGTCATTTTACAGGCAATTAACAATCTAACTTTTAATAATTTAGGGGATTAGCTGCTTCAATAGGTAGCTAATCATGCAAAAGAACACTTTTTCAGCTTACACGTTGCCACTAAGCATATTTGGACTCTTGTTTTCGGCTCAATGGATGAGGACTCAATTGGTTTGGGATAGATGTTTTTTGGACTATGAGCATTCCACAAGCTTGCTCTTCCGGGTAAATGAATAATAAAACCAGAATTTACAACACACAGCCTCAATACTAAGAAAACATGTCAATTCATTCATATATATGGATGTGCACACACACACACACACACACACACACACATACACACATATATATATATATAGAACACTTATTAGCTGGCTAGCATTTACCTTTGATGTTGCAGACAAAGACTCATTCTACCTATTTATCCTCTAATAGCTTAAAGCAATTACTGGATATAACCGACTGCAGTGATCCAATATGACACAGTAAATTACTGAATATGACCGACTACAGTGATCCTTTACATGGTGAGGACTCTTATTTCCAACCATAAAGATAACCTAGGACTATTTATTTGTTTGGTTGTTTTGAAATAAAATGGAAATATGTCCTAGATCATGTTTATGATTTTTGTTTGAATCCTTTTCATTTGAAGAGTTAAAAGAGAAACATTAAGCATGGTTTTTGTATGAACTCTTTGCATTTGAAGAATTTTTTTTTTTTTTTTTGAAAGTTAAATTCAATTAATAAGAAACGGAATAGTATAAGACTAGCAATAGCTAACCAATGGACCAAGGAGGCCCGGAGATACAACATACAACGGCCCACAATACAAGGATCAGAAATGGAGCCTAAAATGAGGAACCCCACAATTCTAATGAAGACGAGAAATGCATTTTGGGAAGGGATAATTGGCTGCAAGAAGGGAACTAGATATCAGTTTATGGCATTGACTGCGTTGACCGACGTTGACTTTTTCGGCCGAGGATGCATTTTGCCTACTTTTGAGGTAAGGGTCTTCTAATGTTTCGATATTTGTCTCTTAATTGAGTAATTCTATCTCTACTGCAAGTATATTTTGAAGATTTCTAAATTTTGAAATGAAATTGTTGCCTTGTGTATGTTAATAATGTGTTAAGTGCCTCAAAC